ATTCAAATGCAGCCTATATGTGGACAAAATGTACTTTCATTTCACATGTAGCTGGTGCAGTGTATACGCTGGTGTGCTTAGGAGTCCAGGAACTGTACATGCAAAGTGACATATACCGAGCCTTTGTTAGATGTAAGTGAGATAATTATGCCACTGGTCAACATTATAACAAGGAAAGGCTTGATATATCTCACTTGGTGTGTACAGAGTCTGTCATGTATTACTTACTGATTGTAAATTGAATTACAGGAGTAAATGGACTTTTGAACAATATTCTAATGCTATTTTCATCTATAAAAACCACAAAACACAAACCGATATTAGCCCATACTGACATCGTGTCACATTATTTAATACTTCTTCTTTGCTGAAAACTGTTTTAAAAGAAAAGGTTTACCTTTGTGTTTCACTGTTCCACAGAGAGTCAACAGAGACACATCAGAGAACATCTCATCTCTCCAAAAACTCAAAAACACGCTGAGCAGCGTGGCTTCGCTCTTATACACAGCACTTCAAACATTCACATCGAACGCCAAATACGGCATCCTTTTAGCACTCGTTAGCAACAGTCTTCTGACACTCAGAAGTCCTAATATTCAGAATTTGAATTCTATATGCACATGGTTTGTTCTGTGGCACATCTGTTCTCTGTTGTGGGAAAATTAAATATATTATAGGTTTTTGATTTATTTTGTGAGTCAATATAACCCAATATGACATTTGCGATTTTGCTTCTCGTGTTATTTTTTGATATGGTACCAGTGAAGTGACAAAACAAAATATTTTCATACAAATCTGACTACAATCCCATTTTTTTTATTTATTTTTTTACAAAGATAGTAACCCTTTTTTTCAATCTCTCCTTCAGGATTATCTTGTTGAGACCTAGAAATTCAGTTTGATGAGCATTTTTTCCAAGATGCAAATGTGAAATGTTGAAACAGGTGAATGTTGAAATGAAACATGGCAAACCCAAGCTTTACACGTGAACGCTTTCGTCACATTTATCACAAAGGAAAAAAATAGGCTGCATTTTCTTCCTGCAGAGGAAACATTTGTTGCACTGAATTAATCAACCACAGTTTTCTGTTTAATGAAATGGACCTTTTTTCTATTAAGAAAATCAATTTCGTCCGCTGCTAATTCCCCTTGTGTCATCAGTGTAATAATAGCTCAAACTATATATATATTTGGAGACATTTACACTGAAGCCTTGAGGAAAATCAGAAAAGTTGAAGCCACAATCCCATTATGCCTGCATTTATAAGATTAACAGTGAGGGACAAAAGTCGGGACAAAAAAGGAACTACTTAATTACCAATCTGAATCTTCTAAGATACAGTAAATGTACAGCGAAAAAAAAATTCGGCCCCTGCGCAGCCTACATTTTATGAATTCGGCCTCTGGACAAAAAATTGTGAGCGAGTGATAATATATATATATATATTCAGAGCATTTATAGGGCATTATTATAATATGGGCAGTATAAATAAAGTGGATTGGATTGTATACAGTATAAATGGACAATACTAACTCACTATTCACTTAAACTGAAAAGTATGTAGCAGCAACACTCGTAGAGAACAGAACATGTACATCGATTCAAATGAAACAGATGTACAGGTCTGTTTGTTCGAGATATAGCATTGCTCACGTCCAAACCATCAAGCTCATAATTGTTATGTAGCTTTGGTTGAAATATCACAGAACAGTTCAGAGCAGCATTATCAGATTTTAAAGAAACAAGAAAGCATACTGGTGCTGTACATACTGGACTATGGAGTGCTGTGAAAAGCAGCTATTTCACCTTATTCTTTTGAACCTCATTATTCACACCTATGGAAGGATTTAGTGTGGGTTTGTAAAAAAGTGATAATTTATTCTATATCACCACTTGATATCAGCAGTACATGAATAGACCATCAGTATCGAACCGACAGAAGAAGACCAGAGGTCATGTGAGGAAAAGGCAGTTCTCACATTTACAATCTAAATAAAAAATGCAATCTCTTCTGCCCACTTTCCACCGTTTTAGCTTTGGTTCAATCAACAAGCTGTTCCTCCCCCCACACAGATGCAAGTCTTTACTGTACCTCCCTGGATCCAATAATCTCATGCTTCACAAGAGACAAGCCGCAAATTAGCCCAATACTACAATTCAGAGAGGTGTGTGTTCACTGCCCCATCTGACATCACAGAGCAGCAGGTGGGGGACAGGAGGGTCCTGCTCAACTACCATCCATGACTGTCCCCCTGCCAGCTTCAGTGACAGACTGATAAACAATTACATGTATCCACTTTGTTCTGAACATATTCTACTAATTTACATATATACATAAATAGGGTGTTTTTGCAAGTCTTGAAAGTCTTAAGTATGGAATTTTGAAACACTGTTTTCCAGACCTTGAACAGTCTTGAATTTTGTGTGAAAGTCTTAATAAAGTATGGGGGAAAAAATTATGGTTAAAAAAATTAACATTTCTAATCAACACAGTTGGTACAATCTCAGTAGGCACACAAGTATACAAGTACATAAAGTTAAGGTCTTGGGGAAAAAAATATCAGTTTTTATAAAGTCTGCAAATTTAATTTGGAAAAAGAGCATAGGCCTGTACTCGTACTCATACCATATGATTCGATGCCGCGCAACCGTTACCCACATTTTAAATTTACATTAGCGTCACGACAGCAGACAGCTGTGTTGCCACGGTGATCTTGGCAGCTAGGCTTAGCCACTAGCTTAGGGGCAAGTGAGAGGACTGTAAGTTGTGTAAGGAAAAACTGTAACGAGGTGGGTCCAAAACAAACACGTATAACACCAACAATTTGATCAAACGTCTGAAAACTCACCACCACGCAGAGTATAACACCTTTGCTAGCACCGGAGCTTGCATACTGTATATGAGGGGAATATGACAGTGGCTCTTACTGTCGACTGAGAGACATAGTCCCTCCAGCGTGTCCTGGGTCTTCCCCGGGGCCTCCTTCCGGTGGGACGTGCCCTGAACACCTCCCCAGGGAGGCGTCCAGGAGGCATCCGGAACAGATGCCCGAGCCACCACAACTGGTTCCTCTCGACGTGGAGAAGCAGCGGCTCTACTCTGAGCTCCTCCCGTGTGACTGAGCTCCTCACCCTATCTCTAAGGGAGCGCCCAGCCACTCTGCGGAGGAAGCTCATTTCGACCGCTTGTATCCGCGATCTCGTTCTTTCGGTCATTACCCAAAGCTCATGACCATAGGTGAGGGAGGGAACGAAGATTGACCGGTAAATCGAGAGCTTTGCCTTTCGGCTCAGCTCCCTCTTCACCACGACGGTCCGATACAGAGACCGCATCACTGCGCACGCTGCACCGATCCGCCTGTCAATCTCACGCTCCATCCTTCCCTCACTTGTGAACAAGACCCCGAGATACTTGAACTCCTCCACTTGAGGAAGGACCTCTCCACCCACCTGGAGAGGGCAAGGCACCTTTTTCCGGTCGAGCACCATGGCCTCAGATTTGGAGGTGCTGATTCTCATCCCAGCCGCTTCACACTCGGCTGCAAACCGCTCCAGTGCATGCTGCAGGTCCTGGTTTATTGGAGCCAACAGGACAACATCGTCCGCAAACAGCAGAGATGGAATCCTGTGGTTCCCGAACCGGACCCCCTCCGGCCCCTGGCTACGCCTAGAAATTCTGTCCCTGAAGACAGTGAACAGAACCGGTGACAAAGGGCAGCCCTGGCGGAGGCCAACATGCACCGGGAACAGGTCTGACTTACTGCCGGCAATGCAAGCGCAGCTCTGGCTCCGGCCATACAGGGACCGGACAGCCCTCAGCAGAGGACCCTGGACCCCATACTCCCGGAGAATCCCCCAAAGGACACCTCGGGGAACACAGTCGAACACCTTCTCCAAATCCACAAAGCACATGTGGACAGGTTGGGCGAACTCCCATGAACCCTTGAGTATCCGATGGAAAGTATAGAGCTGGCTCAGTGTTCCATGGCCGGGACGAAAACCACACTGCTCCTCATGAATTCGACCATCTGCCATAGCCTCCTCCTCAGTACCTTGGAGTAGACCTTACCGGGGAGGCTGAGGAGTGTGATCCCACGATAGCTGGAACACACCCTCCGTTCCCCCTTCTTGTAGAGAGGGACCACCACCCCGGTCTACCACTCCAATGGCACCGCCTCAGATTGAGGGTTCTACGCAGTATCTTTGCTGTTCCTAGCACTGCACATTTCTGGATCGAGATTTCTGAGGTTGTTCCAGGGATCTGCCGTAACCACTCCAGCTTCCGGGCTTCCTAGTGCATTTCATGCCTAAACTTTGGTCACTTGTACCGTTTCCTAAAGTCAGCAGTGGTTCCACAAGTCTTTCCTTCCTGCTGCTGTCAGACAACAAACAGTGAGCACCAATGTTGGTTCAATATGGAATGTATCACATTGTGTCCACAGACAATTCACTTGGCCATATCCTTAAGCTTCTTTTAAAATTTGGCAGAAATACAGGGGATAATAGCAACTTCTATAAACAATGGAAACTTTTCTTTAATTTAGTTTTTAAAGAAAATGTGCACTTTAATATTTCGTATTGTATCCATTTAGTCATCTCTATACAGTACCTTTATTATATGACCTACTCTAACCCTAAAACTGGGCGCCAGAGATACATTGCTTAAATGCACCTCTGATTTGGCTACTATATTACAAATATTAGCTTTAAAGATACTTGGTCAATCATACATATTGCATTTATAGCACATTTAACAATCCAGTTTCTGAAGATGGCTTTATTTTTATCTTTTTGCGGCTCATATGTGTATTCCCTTTGGTTGGAAACTTGGAGACAGGCCAAATTAAGTATCGACTTCACACAGCACTGCTCTTCTGTGGCGCACTGGCGTAATTTTCCAAAATGCGTTGGCACAAAAGACCAATTAATATGCATGTACTTACTCAGATGTTTATCGCTCCAGTAATACTGCTGTATTTGGATGTGGAGCCAGCTCTGCTCAAATGCCCCTCAGGTACTGGGTGCAGAGCAGCTGGTTGCCAGTGGTGACCACGAGATATTGGGAGGAAGACCACGGCTGTGAAACAGACAGTTGGATCAATAGACAGATACTCTTTGCTTGAATTTCTTGCCGTTCTGCAGAAATATTGAAGGTTTCCATGGGAACGTTATGGGAATTGTTGCTGTGATGTAACCTCTGGATGAAAAGTAGAAACAGGAATCTCTTTGAGAAAAAAAAAAAGCTTTTTTCAGATGATGGACCATACATGTACATGTAATAACTGCATGTTGTCTTCAGTTATAGCCACGTCCCGGAGAGGGACTATTAAAGAGTGTTGTGAAAATCAAAACAAACATTTAGTATGCAATGTTCCACATGCAAGTGTCGGATATCGCCAAGGTCCCAGATTTTCTTTTTTAAATGGCTCATTAGTGCCACCTCAAAAGTAAATGTACATTGGGGGCTATGGAAGCCTGACTTGGAAAAATGTCAACGTAGCCACATGAAACCAATCATGAAAAACAGTCAGATATGAGAAAAAATATGACTCAATCCTCAGCCATATTGGATCAAACACAGGAATTACCTCACACTTTTCATTCTTTTAACTTAACAAAGTCAAAAGAGTATAACTAACAGGGAGAAGGCCTGGCTGTCAATCAAGATTTGGGATTTGAATTTGGGTTATACCCCTCTCAAATACCAAAAGTGTGTGCCTCCCTGATGCTTGCATTTGAATCACAACACCAGTCCATAGATGAGCTTTTTACATGTCAGATTTCAGGCAAAAACATGTTTTGCAGCAATAGATACTTCTTTAATTATAGGTTCTATATGGAAATGGTATCATTACTACTAGTGATGGTATAATGTTAAGCATTGGAACATGATTCTGTTGAAGAATGGCAGTGAGGTTGACGCGCACATCCAAATCTGAGTAGCGTGCAAAAAGTTGAAAATAGTCAAATGAAAAAATTGAGATGACTCTACACAGCTTTAGCTCCCAAGGGATTTTAATTCACACCACAAGATGTGGCAAAACTACCCTTCATCAGACATGATCTATTGGCTCAGATTTTTGGACCCCTAATAAACTGTTTCACTATAGCGAATAGTGAATGTGCAAGCCCAAACAGGCCGAACTCGATTGTCACTTTGGTTTGTTCGGTACCAGAATAATCCATTCCTCTCAATTGTTCTGCAGGTGATCCTATTCTCTGCAATGTCCTTCATTTAATACACACATATATAAATGGCATCTGATATCTGCTACTCAAACAGTAATAACACTCCAATAACTTTATTTTCCAAGGTTCATTTGTGTAACTGTCCAGAAGTGGCACGTCTCTGACATGATTTCAAGGGACTGCACATTTAAAATCACACTTTTCATGGCTGTAAACACAAATGGTAATGAAACTGTTGGATGAGAAAAACCTATAGTATTTATCATTATATATTTAATACTCTTGACTAAAGAATAATGTAGGAGAACTGCACCTTCTGACAGAAACTATAGCCAAATTATATTCATTTTGATATCAAAACGTTGGTGGCAAATTTAAAAATTTGTTTAGAATCTGGAACAATCTTCCTGAAAATGTGAAACAAGCTTAATCTATGACAATGTTCAAATCCAGTTATACAGCTCTGTTCAGCTGTGGATACAACTGAGGGATTTTATCTTCACGCTTTTGAATGTACTGTGATTATTTAGAATGTGAATGCCTTGTGTGACTGTCTCTATCTAGTTTTGTTCAGCCCTTTCACTTGTCTTGTGTAGGAATTGTGCTATACAAATGAACTTGCTTTGCCAACAAAAATCAGGCTGTCATAGTTGTACAACTGCACTTTCGTACATATTTGGCATTTTCAAAGACACGGATGCACAGACTGGTGAATGGAAAAGCTCATTGTCAAGCTGAGTGGAATCTGGAACCAAGATTAAAGAACAGATGCCAATCAAACAAAGCAAAACCTGGAATTTGCTTAGCGATGATTCATATCGATGTAGCTCTTGTCTTTTAGCTCTGTCCATAATGAATGCTTAACTGATCAAATCAGAAAAGCCCAGTCATCTAAGTAATAGCTTTTCTTCAGCTGGTTCCTCCTGGGTCTAAAGCCGCGCACTTGGTGATGTATGCTCCATGCAACGGCAGTGGACAGCTCATCTCTCTCAGCTCCAGGCACCACTGAATAAGCACAACCACCCTGGGCCAATCTCTTTTTAAATGCACTTTGGGCTTTCTGATGCTCCCCACATAGAAATGGAAAAAAATGAGGCAGAATTGTTTGGATCAAAGGATAATATGTGACTTTGAAGACATGAAATCCTAAACAAGGCAGTGTTCAAGTCTATAATCTACAATCAGAGGTAATTTCAGAACAGGGTTTAAACAGGGTTTCTCAATTATGTAGACAAAACATGCAAATTTCAGCAAACAGTTCCAATTGTTGACACTACAACATTCAATAACTACAATTTCATGGATACTATACATCTTCTATTCTGTACTCTATACTGTCAGTAACTCTAATGCATCTGTTAAATTCCAATTTGTTTCATCAAATTGTGTTTGCCAAGCTCTTTTTAATCCTCGACTGTGTGTCTCCCTCTCAGCTGTGCTCAGCTGTGTGCCCTTTTACATTTCCTTTGACATTCCCCAGACATCAGATACATATCGGAGCATGTCCTTTAGGAGACATATTCCATTATCATGCTGCTACAGTCCTCATCTACAGAGCCATTTCTCTCTTCTAATCAATGGCCATGCAGCACATCAGCCACAACATACAAACAAATTGCACCAATGCTTCGGCAATAACGAGCCAAACAAACAGCTGACAATCACAGAAGTCAAATCAAAATCCTGTGACTACGCATGTACGGTCGGCGGACTCGCAGGTGTGATGTTTTACCTGTGACTGTGTGGAGGTCCTCTGTGTGCCTCTGGTCTTGATTAAGAGGCATGTAGTTCCACAGGAGCGTGCGTCTGCGTGGGGCAAGCTCTGAGGTGCTCCTGTCACGTCAGTCTGCGCGAACGGGACAGACCGAGCTGAAAAAAGGGGAGAAGAGAGGGAGACCTTTTTCCCAGTTGCTCCTGCGTCTAGCACATCTCCGCGTGTCTCCGGCTCTCCTGGGTCATTACAAGCCAGCCCCTCGGCAACCGCAGCGCCAGGGAATGTGCGTTCAGGGGGGATGGGAGGTGCTTAGAGGACCCGCGCGGACATGGACGAACGATCAGAGCACCACCTCCTCCTCCTTCTTCTTCTTCTACATGTCCATCTGCAGCCTCTGGTCATGCTACGGTCTCCCAGGGTCCGTGCGCGCCTGCTTCAGTTGTCTGTGTGCGCACCACCGCAGCCAGTCTCCCTCAGTGCTAGTGCTGCTGCTGCCCAGATGCTGAAGCCGTGTGAGAGAGGCGCGACAGAGAGCCAAGCGGAGGAGGCAAATCTGGGGGGAAGAATATAAGAAATATAGCTTTCTCTCCTACTCCACCTATTGGCATCAGTCAATCACAAGACCACAGGATCGTAGACGTGCCAGAAATGGGACTTGCATTCTGGTAAATCTTTCAAAATGGTGAAAAGGATCGTCATGCTAAGACAAAGTTTTTGGTGATTAGAAATTGGTCAGTGTTGTACAAGTTACAACTAAAAGGTCATTGTAAATACAGAAATACAGGGATGAGTATATATTTCTCCCCAAATGTAATTGCTTAACTAATTACCTCAAAAACAAAACATATTTTTGCGCACTGTACAGACACGCCATGCGCACCTGCTCTTACGCACCTGTCTGATGTGATGTCTGTTTAAAGTAACTGATTACCTTCCAAAGTGACAACTGTATTAAGTGAGAAAAAAACACACACTCGTTGGGTGGCACATTGGTTAGCAGTCTCACTTTGGGTTTAGACCCACACTGGGCTCTAAACCCAGTTGAACAGGGTATTTCTGAGTGGAGTTTGCATGTGTCTGCTGCGGTTTCCTCCGAGTGCTCCGGTATACCTTACTGCTAAAAACATGCAAAATAGGTAAATACTTAGCCTGGTCGTACCACACCATAGTACAAAAGACATTTCGTACTAAAGTCTGGAGGCGCTCCATTGAGCTCCGTTTACCTGTAAACGGAGCTCAATGGAGCGCCTCCAGGGAGGGGTTAACTCCTTTTGCAGATTGAAACGATTGTATCTGAGTTTACTGTGACGTATGTAGTGCGCCCGAGTCTGTTGTTAGCATTTAGCATTTAGCCTAGCCATCTCCTTTACCGCAAATGGAGCCCGGGGGGAGTAGCGCCACAATTTTTTCTAGCGATTACATTTGCTAAACATTACCCTTGCTCCGGCTTCAATTTCTTGATAGAACCAGACCGGATTACTTTATTATCGCATTTTTCGCCATTGCCAAACTACAACCTGCCTGTTCGACGCAAACTCTTGACGTCACCCACAACTAACTACAACACCTGCCTTCCGCGCTCTCTGAATGGTCGGTCGAAATTCAACCGATTGTATTTGCTAACACAGGGACTAGACCCAGACGTTACATGCAGTGAAATGATGATTGAACGGAGTGTATGGATGGCTAAGGCCAGGCTAGTAAATTCCTCCAGCTGTGGTTGTCCTGACCAAGCCGAGCGTCAACATTTAGAGATAGGTTCCCTGAAGTTCCCTATGCGGATAAATAAAATGTACAGTAAAGTGAGGGCATTTTCTTACCAAATGATAATTTCTATTTAAGAAAAAATAGAACTGTTGGATTTAACATACCAACCCTGGCCTTCTTCTCATTGAAGACTGTTTTTTGAATTAAGGAATTACCAAATGTATTTTGGGTTTAACGTTTACATTAGACTAAATTAGATAACATATAACATGTCGACCATATATAATTGAAAATAATGTGGCAGGCTGCATGCAATCGAGCCGGCTCATTATGACTGAAGAGAACCTTTATCTCAATAACGCTAACCGCCAAGGATCTCCTCAGGTGATCAGTAAATCAGCAGGCCTTGAGACCCAATAGCTTTAAAGTCTTTTTCCTGAACACCTGAGGGAAGGATAAATCAGATGCCAACAGAGAAGACAGGGTGAGAAGGGTCATTAATAAACAGAAAGGTACAGAGAGAAAAGAAAATCTAAAAGACATGATCTGGAATGTCGCATAACACTTTTTAATGTTTTCCATTTGTTCCCTGACTCTGCTGTCTGCTCCGCTTTAGCTGCAGGAGGAATTAACGTGGAAGACAGTCGAGAATGAAACTGAACAGATTTTGAAGAAAGAGCAAGGGGAAAAAGGTGATAAAACAGAAAAAGATAAATGGGCCTATACATCCATTTCTCATCTGATAAAATCATGAAAAAGAAAAGCACTTTTACATCATCAATATTTAGTTGTTTAAGCCCCAATTTCAGACATCTTAGCGAGACAGAGCATTTGTTTTCAATTTGGCTGTTATTCTATTGCAGTGATTTATTTTTTGAAGCATGTTTCACTTGACCAAACCAGCCGTCTGCTTTCCATAGAAACCTTGTCTATTTAGATATCACTTTTCAGAGTAAATCATCTGTCTCATGGATGTGGCTGAGTGGGTTGCAGTTATGCCTCACAGCAAGAAGCTTCAACTCCTGGGTATGAGCTGGGATTAACATTTATGGGTCCCTGTGACGTGACCATTTCAATCTGAGGTCGCCATAGTGGAAAAGTTGGGTCAAATACAGAAGATGAATTATCATATGACCACAAATAGAAGTAAAACTGTCATTTTTGTTTTACCTCATGAGAAATATTACACTGCCCTAGGGTGCCTGTCCGCTTTCTGCTCCCTATTCTTCCTTTTCAGAGAAGAAGTTTGCATAAGCACAGGAGGAGAGTGACTTGCTTATGGACACTAGAGTTAGAACGCCTTCTCCAGTCGTGCAAAAACTCTGAATCTCTGTTTATCAGTAGAGAAGCATGATGCCAACAGTGTCGACAAGGAGAGGAAAACTCATTCCAGGAGGGGTAGTTTGGCGGTAGGTTTTCATTACTACCAAGTAGGAACACACAAACTCCCCACACACTTTATACTCTTTTCTAAACACCTGAACTCACCACTGCAGGGATATCAAACCTATTGATTGTAGGTCTGAGCGCTGCTGCAGCTGTCAAAAGTCGTGCATACACTGTGACAGCTGCAGAGGACACCGCACTGATGGTGCTTTCAGACCGCCAACGCTGAAACGCGGAAGCCCCACTCACCAGACGCGCATTCTCTAGTTTTCAGACGCAGAGGACTTCACACCAGAACGTCCTGACGCGAGCCGGAAGTACCGGAAGTACCGGGCGGCACGGTGGCTGAGTGGATAGCACTCTCGCCTCTCAGCAAGAACGTCCTGGGTTCGAATCCCGGTCGGACCAGGGCCTTTCTGAGTGGAGTTTGCATGTTCTCCCCGTGTCTGCGTAGGTTTCCTCCGGGTACTCCGGTTTCCCCTACCACTAAAAATATGTCCAATAGGCATGTCTGTACTGTACTGGCGACCCCCGCTCCCATCTCTGTGTGGAGTGAGAGATAAATGCCCATAATTAACAATTGTAAACTGCTTTGAGACTCAGATCTGCAGTGAAAAGGCGGTATATAAATAAAGATGACTTACTTACTTACTTACTTACTTACTAAGTAGCCGGCCGGCTCTAATGCTAACAGAGCTATGCTAGCGGCTTCTTGTGTACAGAGCTTCTCCAATATGCAGCTTTGCAGCGTGTCTTTGCTCACAGACATTCCACAGGCTTTATATAACAGTAGTATGTGTTCACGTAGGTGCGCCATACGTGTTTTCATATTATTAAACGGAATTTCCGCATCGGCGAACACACTCGAAGCAGTTGCATAAGGTCACGGGAGCATGACAACGCATATTTTCACAAGCACAGAGTCCCCCATTGTCAACCCTGGTTTGAGTTCTGGTGAAGTCTGGTGTGGGTCCTGTTTTGGCTGTTTATGAGTATTTTCAGTCTGCTCGCTCAGTCTGCTAATGTCCCCGTGACCACTTTGCTGCTCTCTGATTGGTTGTCGCACGAACTTCCCAAGGAAAGGATGAGCAGAATCTATCTCCTGTGGGCGTCGATTTTTTCGCCCTGTCGGTACTTATTTTCCGATAATGACCTGTATGCTATACATTATCCCTTACTTATCACACGGCTCCTCACAGAAGCAGTAGAACGCTCCATTGATTTGAATGTAATTTTAAAACGTTCTACCGGTCATTTTTTATAACGGACCTCTCAAAACAATAATGGCCGCTGCCCTTGGTAACGCACTCTCTGCTTGTATTTCAGATGTGTGGATAACTCTACATGTAGTTCCGGCCACTCCGGAGCTAGCTACGCTCAATAAACACACTTAGATGTTAATCGGAGAATACTTTATACATTCTTCACACACGTGCACGGAGATTGTCAGAATTTTCTGGTCTTGTCTTCATGACAAAAATACTATTTCTCTGAGTCAAAAAGCGATCGTGAAAAACTCGGAAGTAGTTTCGGTCACTCTAGAGCTTTTCACGCTCAATAAACGCAAATCCCAATCAATCAACGCAATTAAATGTTAATCTGAGAGTGTCACGTGATGAAATGATAAAGGACCCAAAATGCAGGAATGCAAAAAAATAAATGTCCAGGTGAAAACAAAACTCAAAATCCAAAATACAGAACCAGGAACACAAAATCAGGAACAGGATGGAACAGAAGTTGACAATACAATGGACCAGCAACAAGAGGAGAGGAGCACAGGGTAATTATAGACAGACACAGGTGAAACACATTAGGGCGGGGCAGACAATCAAGACAGGGGAAACAGGACGTCAAAGTCAAACTAAAACCAAAGCACAGAGAACAGATATCAAAATAAAACTAAAGTCCAAAATAACAAAATCCACACCGTGACAGGAGAGTACTTTATACATATACATTATTAATACAAGTGCACGGAAGTTTTCAGAATTTTCTGTTTCCGTTTTCATGACAAAAATACTAATATAAGAGAAAAGGCGATCCCGAAAAACCCGGAAGTAGATACCGGCACATTTTAGGACACATTTGCAGAGGATCGAATAATGGATTTAGGTTGGGTTTATGTATGGGTCACTCACCGCTGATGTTCAGAATTCTTTGTTCAGTTTTCATGCAGTTCCAGAGAACCTTTCGGCATTCCTAAAAGTGGACTGAAGTTTATTTTGTGTGTTCTGTTGGTACAAAGCCGTATAATAAGCCTTCAGGGCGGAAGCAGACCCATCCACAGCGCGTCGGGGTCCGCTTCGCCCTGACGGTACTTATTTTCCGATAATGACCTGCGTCATATACGTTATCCCTTACATAGTTGGCACGTCATGATAGTTTGCCTTGGGTTATGATCATGGATCTATAATAATAACTGGATAGGGTATTACTAGCTTATAGCTGTCCCACCAATGGGCACAAGGGGCGCCCGTGGTACTGCAGACTAAATTCATGCGGGCTACCCAGACATTTTCCCTATAGATCTCAATGTAAACTAAAACAGCTCGACCTCAGCTGACAGAGAACCTACAGCTTTCATAAAGATCGGATTTGTGGGGATTTTAGTGTTCCTTGTCATCCTGAACTTTTTGTCTTCTTAAATCCTTCGGTTTTCTTTAAATCTACACTTTACTACCACAAACTCTGCTCGTCTCCTTCCTGCTCTGGCTCCCCTCTACCTGATTGGTCGATCTAGCTGATTGGTCAAAACGCGGCCGAGCCCCTATGTGCACGTGC